TTTTACTAAGTGCCTTACATGAACTAAATATATCAGATCACGTTAAGCTTACTATCTTAGAAATGTTAATATTGGGTATCAAAATGAGTACAAGTTAAGTAGACTGGAAAACATGTTTCCGAAGCTAATATACACATACACATATATGAATTGTAATGTTTATGTATTTCTTTAGTTACTTCAAACCAATCTACTATTGTTAGTGTATCACAATACTTTAATAAAAAAAATACAGAAAAGCAATAAATTACATAAATTAATTAAATTAAATTAATTAAAGCAATAAATTAAAATACAGAAAAGTAATAAAATATATTTTGCAATGCTACCAGGTAAAGTTATAATTTTGAATAGGGTTAGTTATCAATTTGAAGAAAACAAATATTTTTACCATTTTTGATATTTTTATATGAACATAGTATAAATTAAAATTTTATTATCTAATCTCTGATTCCAAATAAAATTTAATACGTATAATTGTTATTATTTGTAAGATAATTTTAACGGAACAGTCTAGGAAAACTTGAGGAAGAAAACTAGCAAAACGTGAACACGTAAAGATATTTTTTTGCAACTGTGTCCTTATTGTGTTCTTACACATTGCTTGAAAAGAATTACAAAAAAAACAGAAAGAAAGAATTTGCTGGATTTCTCGTGTAAACCGGAACAGGTCGAATATATTAGTTTTTGCGTATACAAGTATTTTAACTGAAAACATTAACGTTAAATTTTTCGTTTGCTAAAAAAAATAAATTCTATACGATTAGGGAAGTTTTATTATATTCAAATTAATTATGAAACTTCATTTACTGTACACCACAAAGAGTAAAAACAGGGACAATTTTCATATTTTTTATCCTTTTATCACATGTCGCGTAACAGTAAGCCGCGGCGAAGTCAAACGGCTTCAGTAGAGCTTTGCTCGGCTCAGCTGGGCTGGCTTAAGCTGACCGAGTTTAATGCAATTATATTGTAATTTGTGTCATTTTTGTATTTTAGTCTATCTTATTGTGGTTGTTGTTGTTATAGATACAATTTTAGAATTATAATTGTTTCAAGAAAACTACGAAACTTAATTATATGTATATTATGCTAAGAATTACATATTAAAACTTATAACCTATACCTAAGACTACATGATTGGGCCGATGCTAGGACAGTAATACCATTCGATAGCTTGCGTGGTATCAGGATTCTTCTGGTTCACACGGCTTGGTGTTCCTGCCGCGGAGTCGCCAACGTCACTCGTAATATGATATCTTATCCATACTCGTACAACGATGTTGCCTCGGCGTTGATCAGCTATTTTTAATATGCTGCGTGAATATAACATAATGAAAAATATTTTCATGAGTTTTTAATACCAATCCATCACATGTTGTATATAGTTTGCACTTTGTATCTACTATAATAAACAAATAAATTTACACATCTACGATCGAATTTTCACTGAGGTTGGAATTTTTAAATTTGATATTAGATTTAAGTTCTGTTGAACCGAGTTGTGTTTCGAAACAATCTGAATTCCTTGAATGAAATATCTTTCATAATATTTTCATTTCCAACGCCTCATACGAAAAATTTGCTAAAATGTGCAAATGAAAAAAAAACTTAAGAATTACAAATACAGCAAATATGTATAAGATTTTCATCGTCCAAATATACATTTGGGTTAACTGTTACACTAAGTGTAGGAATGCGGCTTTTCTCAAAGTTTTTAATCATGGAACCAGCTGTTAGAACCAGTTTGGCCTTAGTCCAATTATTAACTATTCGTTCAAAACGTTTTCTTTCGGTATATATGTTAGAAGTATTATCAGAAATAAGCAAAGTTAGCTCAGTCAGCCTATTTTATGAATGCATGGGTGGGCGACTTATATATCAGTTCATTCCCATTTTGAACAACTCTATAAGGTATTCGCTAGGATAAACCTCAGCAATTAAAATTTGAACGATTTAGGGCCTAAACAAAAGTAATGAATAAAATAATAGAAAGATTGAATTATTCAAAAAAATACTTAATCAATTTAACAATTTTAATGACATTAGATTTAGAAGAACATTGGTCTCATATTGAGATTTTTTATTGTTTTCACAATCAATAACGACGATATCTTCATCAGCCTATCAGCGCCCACTGCTGAGCAAAGGCCTCTTTCTCACATGGAGAAGGTTTGAGCATTAATCACCACGCTTGCTCAAGACGGGTTGGTGATTTCAAACTTATAATTGTGAAACTATAAGTCCAGGTTTCCTCACGATGTTTTCCTTCACCGTATGTCAGTGGTGTCTAAATACTCTCAGTAAGTACATATGACTCCGAAAAATCACATTGGTACTTGTCAGGTTCGAACCCGCGCCCGCGGCAACGAGAGGCGGGCCCCTTAACCACTAGGCCACCACTGACGATGATATTATTTTTAAGCAATTCAAAAACTACCGAAATATTTTATTTTAACGTTTGAATAATTGATTTTCTTTCTAATTCAGAAAGTTATTTTTTTTGGACAGAATGTAAATTTTTATATTAATTTTATCTAACACAATACATCATTTTTACACATGTATGTATGTTGATAAAAATAAACACCTATTTTTCCTGTTCACGCTATGACTTGGTAACGACTTTACTAAAATTATTCATCTTTTTTGATCGTTTTCTTATCATCATTGTTATGATTTCAATATTATAATTTTTATTATTGTACTATGTATTTGCTAAGAATATTTGAAATAACTGGCAGTTGTTTTACAGAGGTCTGTCAATTTTTCAGACAGATCAAACAAAGCTGATATTGGTTATCAATATCACTTAAAAGTAACGTAATTTTTTGGATTTATTTGCATGAACTGGTTGACTTGGTCAAAACGAAAGAATTTATCATAAAACTCCATAAAGAATTAAGAATAATTAAGAACCTCTCCTTGATCGGCATCATATCATGACTTAACAGGATAACGTCGTAAATGTACATACAAAACAACGTACGTAACAAGGTAAATGGAATACATATAATTCATAAAATCTTACTAAATTTCACTAACTAGTTTTCCGAAAATAAATAATAGAAGTGATTTATGAATGATATCAGAGTGACTTCTCGGCTTTTATATATTGGTATTTATTTTAAGTCATTTAAAATATCATTTTATTCATATAAATGAAACTAATATTTTTATGATTACTATGCGGGTGCTATTATTGTGAGAAACTACATACTCCCAATGTTTACGCTATCTTTCAGCAATGGTGACCATGGGCAGACGAGATTTGAATGTCTGTGAGTTGGTATTATTATTTATCATCTACCACCAACGATTTCTTAATTTTCAGGCGTATCGCTCTGGATGCGGCAGAATGCGCTTACGGTGTCCCGAGGTCCTGAGCTATAATCACGTCTTGTGAATTTTCACTCAACAATAATACTATCGACTGATTAAAACCACATGGTAATTGAGGTAGTTGGTATTATGTTTATTGCGATAAGACAGACAGACAGACGCAGTGAGGGATTTAATTTTATAATATATACATACTGATTTTAAAGAAATTAAACACGTTATTTCTTCAGTCTGTGTGCTTAAATTCCATTAAAGTCTATAGGATATCAACATCCCTACTTTTTGCAAAAAAATGTTTTCCATGAATAAGTTATCGTCACTATTATAATATATTTTTATTATAAAATAAGTACACATAAACTTAAAAAAAAAATAGTGCATGTTGTAGATTCTTAACTTTTCATCTTATCTTAAAAGACTTTAAAGTGACACATTTATTCAATTCGCTAGTAAAAAATCTCTGTTATGAATTTACCTTACTTTTATTATATTTTCTACTTGGTTACAAAAAAGAGAATCCCTTGACTGTCGTAAAAAAATATCAAAGAAAAAATAAATTAAAACTTTATTGTTCATTTATTACAATATGTTTTCCGTCGATGTTAAAGCCGCTTTCTTAATATGTATAAGGTTTCGCCTTTTTTGCAATGAAAAGAAAAGGTTTCAAAAACTGCGTGTAAAATTATAACATAATATTAAATTTTACTTTTTCCGCTGGCTCTTTGGTGGGTTTTTTAAAATTCATGTTATATGCTTAAATTTAACTTTCCAATACAGTGCCGAGTCAGTTTTAAAATTTTCTTTCTGTGTCAATGAACCTCACTAAATCGAACAAAGGCTGACTTTATTCCTTAAAAGAATAAAATAATTTATATAATTGTATTATAATATTGAAAAAAAACTATGATACTACAGGTGTTGATATACTTAAAAGGGGGTGCCCAACGATGTATAAACAAGTGTACTACTTTGAATGAAGCAAATTATTTTCATTTATTTTTATTTTATTTTTTATGATAAATTGCCTTTTTGTCATTTAATGCCTTTACGACTTTACAATCTTTTGAGTAAAATATGTATATTATAGCAATTAGTATTCTATTAAAAAAACTTCAAAGTATTAGTGTCATTTTTGAAACAATTGTTTTTTAAGATAAAACCTAGGTGTGGTCAAGTTCGAATATGGGCTGGCACGACCGGATAGTACCACATTCTCACAGAAGGTCATCGTGAAAGAGTCTTTAATGGCTACGTTTCTTCCGATCAGTGAGAGAATCGGTTGCCCTTGCAGGTGTCCATAGGTGATAGTGACTACTGCTCAGCAAGTAGTAAAGGCCATATGATCGTTTGCCCTCTTTCTCATAAAAAAAATACTATTATTTTCAATTCAATAACTTCTACTAAAATAATGTTGTTCAAACAAAATATTGTCATAAAATTTCCATATTAAGTTAAAAAATACACTGTAAAGAATTATATGTTTATTCTATGATTTATTAACAATTCTTATCGTAGATCTGTTTCTTTCAGAAACTTTCATATAAATTAATAACATTGATGTAGACCCAAAATTAGAAAAAAACAATTGAGTGTTAAGCATTTATATTTTTTTGAGACGACTGTTTCAATTTATTGTACATTTTGTATAGTTAATAGTATTAATCTAATTTAAAAGCTGCAAAAGAAACTCCCTGTCTCGACTCCTCGTAAATAATCTCCAATTTATATGATGACTTTTCTATCTTCTCAGTTATATGTCTACTGAGTTCTCTTGGTGCTTGAGATCGTATGTACTGCAACATTTTTAATTTCAACAAATACATACACATGTAGATTGAAGAATTTAATATATTTTTAAACAATTATGTACAAATGTTTACGAATTATTATAGAGAAATAAGTTTTATTTTTAAGTTTTATCTTTATCGACTTTCACATCAAAGAAATATTTTAAAAACTTCTTTTTTATATTACACAATAAATGAAAAATTTACTTTTCTTGAATCATATTTCTTCCTTAACTGTCTGAGTTTAAAATTGATAGGACCCCATTGTTTTACGGGGGTTAAAATTCTAAAAGTGCTCTGAAACAATAAGTTGTGATTGATTTAATTATGTATATTATCAAAAACTATACGAAACGAAAATTATACGATATGTTTATTATGATCTTACCCGCTTCTTCTTATAAATAGATGAAAAATATATGTAAATTGCTCCAAAAAACATCAAAAGGGATTGTGGAATAAACGTCCATGCTTTAATTTTCATATTTTCCTCATCAAACATAATATTAAAAAAAGCTACAAAAATTATGAAAGCCTTGAACTAAAATGAAAACAAGCAGTTAGGATTTTTGAATTGACCCTTTAATTTTAGTTGGCTTCCATTTTTAAAATACTGTAATATTGTTTTAATACTAACAGAGTAAAATATTGGAAGAACCACAAAGCTCCATACTCGTAGTTTAGTTGGTGGAAGTCCAAAATGGAATGTTATGTCATCGATCAATCGACCCAAAGGATATAGCCAGAACACAATTATTGTCTCTGATAGTGTTGATATGCACGTCCATGATATAAAACTAGATTTGAAAATCTAAAAAACAATACTGAATTTTATTTCTAATTGTTAAGCACTGATCAGATTGAATGATTACCTTTAAATATTTTTTTAAATATTGAGTAATGTGACATATAACTTATGATTTGAGAAGAAAAGGATTAATTATATTGGAATTGCAAGGAAGAAATACAGTCAATGAACGACAAACTCGTAAATAATAGCTCCTTGAAAAAGATCTTTTATTAAATTGTTATTAAAATTAAGCAAATCCAGCCTATTTACAAAATTGATTTCCACGAATGGGCTAGTCACTACTATTTTTGGCCACTACATTACTCTAATTTTGTAAATAATTTTTGTCCTAGGACATAATGTTACGTATTTTATATTTATGTACAAGTATGATGATAAATAGTAACAACATTGAAAATAAACAATTATAATAAACTAGAAGACCTGACGAATTTCGTATCGCCCTATAATCAAGAAATATCTTTTAAGTTTTTTTATTTATATTTTTGGAGTTTACCTGTAAACCATAAATCTCCGTGTTTTGAAGTGCGACAGAATGATTGACATATTAGTTAGTTGTCAAATCTAATGTCAAAATAAAAACGTTTTTATGGGAAATAGAAAAGGGCTGTTTTTATGGTTTTCCCAGTAATTAATCAATTTTTTTCAGCTTTTATACCTTCCCTGAACCTCCACGAACATTTCAAGACTAAGATAAGATAAATCCGTTCAGCTGTTCTCGAGTTTTAGCGAGACTAAGGAACAGCAATCCATTTTATATAGAAGATTGAAATTAATATACCGTGTCACTTGTAAAAGCTTCCACAACTGCTGCAAGCAGAATAATACAAGCAGCACACCACGGCTTAAGTGTTTTCCATTCGCTTAAGAGAGCTTGTATAAAACATTGAAATGTGATCAACTGAAGCGACAAAAATAATAATAACACATAAAAAGTCAAAACCTAAGTATATTATGTAACAAATAAAAAAAAAAAACATACAAACGTGAAATAGTCCACAACGGCGTTTAAAGCGAAAAATAAGAGGACAAAAAAATTTCCTCCGTATATCGTAGAAAAATAAATAGGCCAGGTGAAATAAATCGATGCACTTCCTATGGTAAATAATTATAAGAAAAAATATGTAAACATAATTTTTTTTGTAATCAAAACTCAAACTAAGACATGGCATAAACTACCCACCGTAATTAAAGTGAGTAAATATGAGTGAAGCGTTTACCCAATTTTCTCCATATCTTTTACATAAGTAACTCGTCGATGCTCTTAGTAAATAAAAGATTGAATTTGAAATATTAATCAGGGCACTGTGAAGATTTGGATTAACCTATAAGTAGCATAATGTTATTAATAATTAATTTAACTCAACTTATTTGAAAATTGCCTTGTGTTGAAATAATATATAAAATGTTTATCAAATGCCTACGCATGCTAACTATACTATACTCTGTAGAAATAATTAAGGTTTTCATAAATAACCCTGACTGATAGAGTCCCGAGATTGGTTTTGAAATTCCTTGCCATAAAATTATAAATTCGTCTTTAAAAAATTGTAAATTTATATAAACTTGTTCATAAAGGTGTAGTTGTTATTGACTTTTTTGATAATTATTTTTTCTAGAACATTTAAAATTAAAAAAAAAATCTTACGTTTTCTTTATTTACATCTTCTATAGAAAAAGTTAATACTAGGAAATAATTCAGAAATTAAAATTTATTCTTACTAAATAGCTATCATTTCAAGACTTTGAATAAAATCTGTTTATCGAGTGCAAATGAAGACAGTGTTTATAAGAAAAAAACATGTCGAAACATAATATATACATGTCAGAAATTATCATTAATGCGGAGCTCATTTAAAAACTAGGAGTAAACATCAAAGTTAGCGTTTTGTCGTTATTTTCACTGAATTTTGTAAAAACCTGACTTTACACCATCAATTGCCATAAGCATAAAGTTTACGTTTGCGTTTGTGTTTGCGTTTTCAAACGCAATTGCGTTTTAAACTGTCTTACGAATAGTTATGATTATTGTGATAGCCTGCATACGAGCTTAGTAAACAATGGTTTGAAATAACTGGCGGTTTTATATCTACCCTAGTATATGTTTATCAAAGATAACGTATCCCCTAAAAGAAGACCTAATAGATTGGTATTGGTAAAGACTGCTACAATATACGTAAATGTGAATAAAAAAGAGATCTATATAGGTATTTATTAAAATAACAACTAGTATATGTACATATGTGTAGACATGAATATAGGTGTGATATTAATCTGACAGTTGTCTTAATCTTTCATTATTTTTTTCTATGTTTTCAGAGTTACATATTTTTTTGCTTAAAATAATCAGCAGATAATAATTCTGAAATTACACCATCGTAAAATCGAACTAATTGGTAGAAAGTTATGAGTGCTTATATATCAGTACCAGTAAAGAAAAATAAGTTATCAATTATTTTTATACTCTAGGATGTTGAATTTTTTCTCTCGTATTATATAAGACCAACCTTGATATATCTCAATAAATTTTACTTGGTCTACTGTGTAAAAATGTATGTGTAGGAAAATATACGAAAACGAAAATAGTCTTTTTTGCAACATGTAGTATTTACTACTTATTTTTCATGACAATTCCTTCTTACCTTATCTTCACTTCTTGAAAATATTATATGAGCCACTGGAGGTGCAGTCATTGATTCAGCAAGCAAATCAAAATCAGCAATGTTCTATATAAAAAAAAAAATAATATCTTTTATGACATCAAAAATTTCTGCATCTATATATTTTAATAAAAATACGTTTTGGGCTACGCTTATTTCTTTATTTTATATCTACATGATCACAACATTTCGGTCCCTTTCCAGACTTATCTATCCGTGATCACGGTTGCTTAAACCGTAAAGTCAGGATCATGCAGATATAAAATAATAAAAAACCTGTAGCAACCCAGGAATTTAGTTTTATTTAAATACCTTTTTATACATATTAATTATATGTCATGACGCTTAAAAGTGTATATCATTAATTTTTTAATGAATGCTTACCTTCATTAAATTCGTGAAATTGTAATCATGGTCTATAAAGTTGATAGGTCGGTCGTTATACGTAATTACTAAATGTAGAAATGATACCGTATAAAAAACACAGAGTATCAGCTGTGCCCGGTTTAAAATCTGTATAATCGTTAACATGTTAATTTTAATATCATTGTATCTGTTGAATATCTTTCTAATATTTAATTGCATTTTTAACATTTAATTTCCATTAATAAAGCACATATGTATAACATAAAATGTATTCATAACTCGCCATTTTTTCATACCTGCCAAGTGTATCGTTTAGATATATGATTTCGAAGGCAGCCAGCTGTCGTCCACAAGAATAACAAAATGAAAAACCAAATTCCTTTCCTATTGAAGTCAAACCGTTCATCATGTGCTCCAATTAAGTGACTGAAAATGAGTACTTATAATCAGTTTTCAATATTTTTTCTTACATAGTCCAGGAAAGTAGCCTTCAATAGCCAACCCGATCATAAATAGGCACCATAGTTTTAAGGATACAGATATATAACCACTAACAGTTAAAAATTATATCCTTAACCATATGTTGACAAAACATCGGACATGATCCAGTGTAAGTACCAATACAGTTCTTGAAATTGAAAAGCAACAAATACGATCCGGAATACGTCATGTTTCAAAAAATGGTAAATGAACAATAATTAATTTCTTTTTTAGTAGTTTCAACTTTGATTTGGTAAAGATTTTTCATTCGTATTTAGGAATTTAATATGCAAATATACACGAATTTCATGTTTTTCAGAGTTTTGAAGATGTCTCTAACTAAATTCAATACCGTTAAGTTAAATTCCCTAGACTGGTTTTGTGCTTTATGTTGAAACTTTGATAGTAATTATTGTGGCTCTAAATACCCCACAAACAAACAGTAACTAAGATATTACTGTAGGACTTCCAAGAAAATCCACAAATCTTGTCGTTAACTAAACAATTCGACAAGTTATAAGTTACATTTCTTATAATTAATGTTATATAAGTAATGTTTAAAATAAGCACATCAAAATGTTCAATGGTTACTTGTTAGTACAAAACTACATATTATAACATTATAATGTAGGGAATGTCCGGCTTTAACAACTTTAACTAAGGATAAAATATTTTTTAAGCAGATAAAATGAAATGTAAAATATAATCTATCTAAATACTTTGACGTTTTTCCTTTTTAATCACATTTCATATTTTAGTCACAGTTATACAAAAAGACAGAATATTTCTGCTACAATTACGATCTTTTTCCTTTTCCTTTAATGACCAAAAATTTAATTATAAATAGAAATAAATATCTAAAACTATTTTTATTTAATACAATAATAACTCACTCGAAATAATCAATTTGAGCTAAGGTAAAGAATTCCATATTTTCTATTGTATACATCTGTCGGTCTTCATTATAGGTAACATTGGCACTTGTAGAAATTTTTTGTGCAAACTCCAATAAATCAAGACAGGAATATTTATAATCATAAAAAATGTTTTCTTTATTTTTACATCTAGAATTTGTTTATCTTAACTTACTACCGTTTTTTAAATTTTGTATTAAATAAAAAAGTAACACAATAAAAAGAAAGAAGGTTTGTGCACACAAACAAGTAGTCACCTGTTCCAAGGTATTTTGTCAAAAATTCCAAACACGAAGTATGCAATATAATATGAAACATTATTTACCATTAATTTGAGACCAAAAACACTGGTTATCATTAATATAAAATTAAATCCTGAAAATAATATAAGATATATAAAGAAATATATAGAAATCATTTTATATTCACCGTAATAAGTTGTAAACAATTACTACCGTATAAAAGTGGCACCATTTTAGGTATAAAGAAATGATGTTCAGGTGAGTAAGTGCTTAGGAATAAATAGACGTACGTCATTGGTAAACTTTTACATAAAACATTGAAAACATAAAACCAAAGAAATCTGCAATAAAGTTGGATTTTATGTAGTTAGAAAAAAATAATATTTTTAGCCATATAATCTCATCATATATTAACCTTTTAACATTATTTTGTTGCTCGCACAATATTTCTAATTTGCTCACTGTTGATGTGTAAGCCCGAAAAAACGATAATTTTTCCAAAATTGTTGCTGGAATAATAGGATGATCGCTACGTATTTCATTCTAATAAATAAAAAAAATATTTTTTCAATGTTTTTCACTATTATAAGGGAAGAGAGTTTGGCCCTTTACTAAAAAAATGAATTACTATAACCTGCGGTATCACTTGCAGACGGTTCAATCCGTCTGCAAAGTCAATTCTTGAGGGTTCTCCTTCATTACTCAACCGCCAATTTTGATTCGACTGTTTGTCTTCTACAATCTTGTTTAACCCTAGTGCATCGTCCATGAAATAAAATCTAGCGACAATTATATTTATGAGATTAGTATTTGAGACTGATTATGTCATACACATGACATGTGTCTAGAAGTTTGTATAGAAAGGCAAGCTATATTGTTTTCTATTCTATCTTTGAAAATACATAGATTATTTTTAACAATCATTCATATTGATTTTATTTGTAAAATGATGAAATATCAAATAATAAAGAGGTTCATATGTATTTTTTTAAAACTCGTCATACGGGTTTTAAACATAAGTTTCTGTAACCTTTTGAAATTCCGGTTTTTATATAAGATTTTTGCTTTATTATAGTATTATTGTGATCATGTATATGTTTCAACCTACATATACAGCGATATTCAACGTTTGGTTACTTTTTTTTCAATGTTTGGTTTGGTGTTTTCTCTTTTCGACTTATGCTTCTAAAAAAAGATCAAAGAATCTGTTTAAAATGCAATGTTATTGTTTGAAAATTTATTGTTTTATTTATTTTTTATGATTTTATAAGTTTTAATAATTTTTTAATTTGTATATTGTTATATGTGGGGGATAGCCACATAGTAAACAAATTTATGTTGGCCAAACATCTCTGGAATTGGCGCTGATAACTGATAATTATCAACTGCCTCTTGGCATTTGATTTTTCACCAATGTTTTTTTTTGATACGGTCCAGCACAAAATTCGTTTCATACTTCATCACACACTCAATTTCTAAAACAAAGTTCATAGCTTGTGTGCAGTCATATGTTTACGGTCACGTTGTGGAAATTAAAACTCAGTATTCGCAATGGACTCTGCCCAGGATTTATATCGAAAAAGCAATCGAAGCTAGGTCTAATTAAAAGGTTTTGATTCCAGTTTTTGAGATAGTAAGGAAGGTTTTGTGTACAGTGGTAATTCATGACTTCTTGCTCAAGGGTAAAAAACTGTCAATACTCCTTGCCCTCTTTCTATAGTTATGCTCAAAGCACACAGGTAGAAATGCCTGAATTTCTTAACAAAGTTTCCTTTTGCATCTTGATAACGCTTCCAAAATCTAGGAAAAGACAGCACTACATCAATATTAATAAAATTTATAGTATTAGCTCTCATGACTTTCAAATATAATCTCTTTGATCAAATTATATATAATATATGTATATTAAAATTTTAATTTCTTGGTATAAAATTGCCGACTCTTATATTAATATTTAAAAAATATCATTTTTATTTTAGATATTTTTGGTACTTTACCTCAAAAGTAAAAAGTAAGATTATAGGTGACTTTTAAGACTTTTGTTCATACATTCTTCAAGCTTTCTACAGCAATCAAGTAGCGCTTAAATTTCAAGTAGCGTTAGTAATTAGTGTTTTTTACTCAGATAAAATTAACTTTTAATTATGACAACATTTTAATTATGACAACACTGCGAGAATAAAATACTTCTTTACTATTAAATTAAAATTGTATTCATTAATTTTATTATTAAAAATATGTTTAAAGTCCTGTTATTGTTTTTTAGTTGTGTGTTAGTTGTCTTTTAGTTTGTGAAAACTATTTTGTTGTCGTTTATCTCACTTGTTGGACATCCAGATTTACTTCGAAACTCCATTCTGTTTTTGTACAGCTTCAACAGACCCAGACAAACAGATACAAAAAAAGCGCCACAAAGACAAGAACGATTTCTTCTGTATTTGGACCTATTACGTATCGAAGATGTTCAAGAAACGAGGAATGAGAACGAATGCCATTTAGGCCTTTTACAGGCATAGTGTACTTATCATCTCAGGATTTGCAAATTTTCTTACTACCAGGACGAATCATAATCAAACACTATACAATTGACACTTAATATAATTTAAAAAAATAGCCAAAAAAAAGAGAAAATAAATTTAATTAGCATAAATTGATATGTATATTGATTAAGATAATCAGATATTTGTTGAATAATGATTTTGTAATTTGGAAATTGTTTCCAAGGCTACTAAAGTCTACTATTACTGACAGTAACTAAACGAAGGAAAATATTTCTAGCAATTGAATGTTACATTTATGGATTACAATTTATTGCATGTAGGTTTTTAGGGTACACCATTTACTTAAATTGTTCCACTTTAATGTTAGATTAACAAGTGTTTCGATTAAAAGAGAGAGAGCTGTGGGAATTTTTAGCATTTTTAAAATTACACTCAGTATTTATCTTGTCAAATTATTATAAAATAAAGAGAAAAGGTTTTTTTTTTAATTTCACAAATAAAAATAAATACGTCAAAACATTTCGCTAGCAAATGTCACTTTTTATAGATAGCAGAACCTTATCATTTTCCCTTTACACATCAAACTTTTTGAGATATAATGTGCCATTACCGCCCGTATGAAGTGATTCTGATTTATGGGAATGAATATTTAAGTGTACTTGATTGTAGTATTTATATCAGCATAATGGCACTCACGGTCTTTATTGAGGGATAGTTACTACATATTATTATCGTTAAGTATTTAATTTATAAACATTTATAATATCATCATATTAGTGAAAACTTTACTACGTTATTTGTTATACTGATCATTCTATAATTTGTAGTATAGAACATTAAGTGTTAATTTATATCTACATTTATAGTATTAATATATAAAATAAGAACTTAAATAGAAACCAATATGCAACCATTGTTAATCAATTTATATTTCTATAAAATATTAACCTATAATGTAAAGACGGAGAGATTTCACTATTAATAGCTAGAACTTAAGTCGTACCTTACAGGCAATTTGTCGATTTCTTTACGTAATATTTCAAATAAGTTGTAATAAATTGTAATGTATGATCAATAATGTCTTAATGTTCTTTATAAGAGCCAAAGAATTTGTTGAGCATAAAGGTAAGCCATGTACATGATCATAAAGACTCGATGTCCGACGCTTCATTACTGGGGAAGCAGTTATTACCGGGCTAGGGAATGTTAATTTTTGTGTTCTATTACAGAACAGATAAACGCAAAATTGTTTTCATTTAATGGAAAAGTTATTAATATTTATAAGGATAAGTTATATTAATATTTATATATTCGATTCTTTAGAAATCGATACTCCTGTGATTGGTGCTATTTCTTATCATACTTTTTGTTGCAATATGCTCTTAGAATCTTATCTAAAAATACGTCTAAAAATAAAACAAATTACGCTTTATGAAGGAGTAACTATGTTATATATTGATAAAAAAATGCGAGAAATAATAGAAAGAAGACCAAACAAGAAAACAGTCTAGGAAAAGAAAGGTTATTCTAAAGAGAAAAGGACAAAATTATAGCTGAAAAAATAATGATTTGTCACTCTTATCGATTCGAATAATACAAGGGAGGATAATATGATTAAAGAGTGTTATACACAACAGTTACAGTGTTGTAGACGTGTTTTTTACAATATAATCTATACTGAAAAAAAAACTTCTCTGATAACTAAAAATAACGAATTTTTATATTTATTATTTATATAACTTCAAAATATTATGCTTTCACTGTTAATTTGAACTATCCCTTAGCCAGTACTTTCACCAAACTTTCCTTTTGTTAATCAAAACTTATATTATTTCATTATTATCTTGTATTATTTATATACTAAATTAATTATTTCGTTACACTAATATTTTAAATTAAAGGAATAGGACATAGTTTTGTGAGTAACAAACTATCTTAAAACTATGGATCATCCCGATTAATAAAGCGTATGATTAATTAATCTCAGATTAAAATGGTGCTTAGTTATTTGAAGTTACTTTCATAAAAATATTTATGAGATATAAATAGGCTATAATATATGATTAAGATAAGTAACGAAAATTTATTTAAATTATTCTTTTAAATTTAACATGATCGAAATAATAAACTTAAACTGTATTGTGTGTTGCCGTTTATCAATGTACGGATAGTAATAAGGCAAACCTTATCTTAGCCCAAAAATAATACTGAGCTGATAACATTTTGACTCCGCTTGTGGGATACTGAATTTATTAATACAAATCTGAAACGCCTTATGTGAAATTTCTAGATTTGAACCTTGCAATCGATATCAAGATTATAATTTTAGTTTTGTAACATTAAAGTAATACTCTAAATAATATTCAACATATTAATTGACAACTTCATCGACATGACATTAAACTCTACATATTGTGGTTGATTTGCTTTACCAATTAAGTAATTGTGCACTGACTTGATGTATAGAATGCTTAAATCAACGATTGGATGATGATAATCCTAACTTAAAGTTAAGCTGGACTGATCTTGGTTTTTAAAAATGATTATAACTTATATTTTATATCTTTTAAACCTTGTACATAGAAGGAAGCTGAATATTATGTATAAACTACTATAAACCCAAATGAACTGTTAGAAAAAGTTTTACACTTTTGTTTATACTTTAGTAGATACAATGAAAACAAAAAGTCTTAAGCAAAGGATTTTTTGAGCTTAAATAGCAAATATTCAAATTAATATTTATATACATATATACAAAATAATAAAATACTTGTTATACAACCCTGATCAGTAATGAATTTTTGTAATCGTTATATCTTCACCGAACTTCTCCAAAGTACTTGAAACTAAAGTGTTGGCACTACTCCAGTATCCATGTCAACTTCACGGTTAGATAAGTCAGCGTCTCTTAGGTTTAAACTTAGAAACTGTTACTAAAGTTTGTCCTTAAACCTCTTTCAATTAGACGCAGTGATTTGTAAATACGGACTGTTTTTAAGGATTTTATAATTGGATCTAAAAAATTCTTTTAGCTGTTCATACATGAAATTTTTTGCAAATATTTTATCATATCACTTATTTTTTCATAAGCTAAAATATTGGTAACGTAAACGAAAAGCGATATTCAAGAGGTTGCACATAAAAATTGTGCTCGTAATGATGATTAATCTTTTTAAATTTTTTAATATATATTTTTTTCAAGAATTACTGTAATAAATAATAATGTTAAAATCCTAACTATGCGAATAGGATAACTTTGGTTTCAATT